AAAGTTGAGGGACCAAATTAAGCATTTAACCTTAAATCAAATTAAAATCATAAAATAGAACACGATTCATAACCTAAGACTTTTCATGATCAAAGCCACATAGAAATCAACCCAAATCCCATGTAAAAATAAAGCCAAGTTCAGAATCACTAGAAAAAATCAAGCAAATTTAGTTTTGACAAAACTTAGTAAATCGATGCCGAAAATTCTACAGAGAGCAAAGCAATGCGAGAATAGAAAGTGAAGTGAGCAACCGGGCTTCAATGAGATTTAGAATTAGGAATTAAGTTAAGCTCCTACAAATCGTCCCCCCAAAAATTAAAGCTACACGTGTGCATGTCTATGTGATAAGTGTGCTGTGTGCCTATTTACGTGGATGGCCACATAGATGGTTACGCAATTTAGTTTAAGAGAAATCGTCCCTTGTATCATTATCCTATTTAAAAACTTCTTTTGTCAACTTTTTTTTGTCAATCTGTTACCCAAGGGCGAAGCCACATGTGGACTGGGGCGGTGGCGCCCCCTAGGATTTGAAAAGAAAAATATAATTAATTTATTAATTATTACTATTAAAATTTTAAATATTATATTTTTAATTGTTAAAATACATAAAATAAAAAAGATCCAATAATAATGGGCTCTTTTAGGAGCCCAAATATGATTTATATAATCTATATAATCCATTATCCATTTTAAAATTTTAACTATTTATTATTATTTAAAACTCACCCATCTCAAGGCCCACAATGAATTTTCATAAAAAAAGAAGAAGAAGAAGAAAAACAGGTTCTCGTGTCTTTTACATCATTTCTCCAGTATCTAACCCCATTGTCAGAGTGCCAATCTCTTTCAACTAATCAATCTCAACCCAACAACTTCAAAAATAGAAAAAAGAGACTCTGCTAACGGCCTGACGCAAGCAACTGCAACACTGCTTTCGTCATTAAAAGCTTAAAGACAAAGGGACCACCAAAGGGGACCAGTAACTTCTTGGAAAAGATTAAAAACAACACTACCTCTTTTTATATGAATCATATATTGTCATATTGAGTTTTAACTTTTAAATTTTGTAAGTTTCTTTTATTTTATTTTAAAATTTTATCTTATACTTGTTAGTAGATATGTTCTAACAAAAAAATTAGTATTCTTTCTTTGCCTAGAATAATTAATATTTTTTATTTAAAATTTATTCCAAAATAATAGTCTCTTTTTTTTAAGGAAGATAAATGGTTTTTTTTTTTTGTTAAAGTACCATTTTGGTCCCTCAACTTTTCACTTTGGCACCAAAATTGTCCCTCAACTTTAAAAAACCCCAAAATTATCTTTAAACTTTCATTTTCGATACCAAAATGATCCTTCTGTCAGTTAAGTGCACATGTGGCACGTTACCTTGCCACAAAATCACTAGCTTTTGAAAATTTTAATGACGTATATATCCAACAATGAAAATATTGTTACCGTGGCATTTTTTTACACGTGAGATAGTGGGGCTCACATGAAAATTTGTTCTCTTTTCCAGTTTCAATCAAGTTCCCCAAAAATCACAGTTTTCTTCGTTTCTCTTTTCATTTTCTTTTCAGATTCAAAACCCTAAACCTACTACTTCAGCAAATTTAAATCGAAATCAAAATAAGATCATCCCTCTTTTTTCTTCTTCTTATTCTCTCTCTCTCTCTTCTCCCTTCTTCCTCTCCAGATTTGGGTTTTCTGAAACCCAGATCTGGGTTTTCTCAGGCTTGTTGAACCGGCCTTAGTTCGCTCATTGTTTCTTATTTTCTTTGTTGATTTTCTAGTTATAATTCAACAAATCCATCAATTTTCTCTAATTCCAAATCTC